TGGAATCTTAACCTGAGATTCATTTTTAAACCAGTCGACAAATTCATGATCATATTAACTTTTTTAATAGCGGCACCTGTTCGTTAATATATTTGTTTAATTTATATCCAGTCCCTTTTTGTAGATTTCTTGCTAAAGTTTATTGGTTGTCTTTTCCATAAATTTTTGTGCAAACTAAACACACCAAGCATGTTGGACAAGCGTTAGAATGAAAATTTAATAACTGACATTATTGTTATATTATTTTTATTATATAATAATAATGGGTCATGCCGAAATCACTAACTTAACCGAATCGGTTAAACAATCATTCGGCTAATTTTTATCAGGTGTTTCAGGATTATGATAATAGCTATAAACCAGTTTATCAAAAATATGACCCAGATAGTAATTTTTTCAGGTCGGGTTATCGGTTTCACAGTTATCCGGTTCAGAGCTTAGAGCCCTACTCCCAATTATAAAAATAAACTTGACCGAACAGAAAAAAATTAAGATTTATTGCTATGGACTTTAATGATCAATAATTATTTATTCAAAACTAGTTAATTCTAAAAATTACTTTAAACAATAAACACAAGCAGAATAAAATACATCAATTTTTCAAATGCTTTTTTGATAGTAGTTTGGATCAATTTTGCCAATCAATTTGTATATGAAATACCTCAATATGACATACCACCCGATGAATTAAAAAATAAGTGGGCCCATGGGCAAAAACTTAATTGATATAATAGGCTACCGCTTTCTCACATAAATGCTCGAAGCCAGAGAACAGAGATAAAAAAACATAAGACTCTGATCATAAAGAAAATCCAGTTAATTTTATCTTCCGAAATTTTGATTTTCACATTCTATTATATACATTAAAATTGGAAATTTTGACAAATCCCACTGAAAAAAAATAGAATCACTAATTTTTGCATTATTTTTTAGGAGTTATATGAGTTGATGATGTGAGGGGTGCAATATTTTGAGGGGGTGTCCAGAATCTATCATTTTCGTAATAATTATTAAGAAAATGCTCAAAACCTACTTTTGACTCATTAATCAAGTTAAGTGTTTGCTTAATTACAGATTTTACAAATAAAATCTCCATTATAATGACTCCAAGTAGCTGATATTTGGTTAAACGACCAGGAACTTCATAAAATTTTTGACGATGGATGCAAGTAATGTATCCCATCGGAAGATCTACGGTAATTACTTGCATCATATTCGCTTCTTAGAGAATTCCAGCTATTTGTAATTTTCTTAAAACATCTTCTTTCATATTATATTCTGTTGCAAGTACATTAATCATATCTTTAAGCATCTTGGACGCTTTTAAGGAATCCGTTAAGAGTTTGGTTCCCTTTGTTGCTTCCCAGTTTCTTCCAGCTTCAATTACGCCAAATTCAAGATGTTTGTTGCGCAATCTAAAGATTTCATTCCCTTTTTGCCAAATTTTTTTCGGTCATTTTCAGACCTATCAATATTTTTTCTATCACTTGACAATAAACACATCCCTTCTTCTCGTACCAAATCAATTTCTATCACATGAAAAGCAGGATCAATTAAATGAGCCCAGAGGTTCATTTTGAACCACCCTTCTAGTCTTGAAGCTGAAATAAAATCGTCTTCTCCTCTCCATAGAGAATACATTGACCTATATGCAAGGTTAATATAATCCAAATCTGTTGAATAAGGAGCATTATCAGAAAAAAGGGGCTTAAAAATAACTTTTTGAAGGGCAGGTAAATTATCTATATTGTATTTTATCAAGAGATTCACAATGTTTTTGTCGATTTTTGGCACTTGTTTTGGATTAGAGAAAAATATTTCGTTCTATTCATTTTTGTTAAACAGTTATTGTGCCTCCCTATCAGTATCATTTATAATGAAAGAATGTAAGTAAAAATCGTATTCTAATTTTCATGCATAATCGTAAATAACTTTTTCGACAACATGCTCAGATGAATTGAGAACCCACATTTTTGAGGGGTCAAAAGCTCGGTAGGCAAGCTCAAAATTTGAAAGATTATAATCACTTTTTACTTCGTCATTATCAGTGGTGGACTCTTTAATATCAAATCGGTTTGATTGTTTTTTAACCTGAATCAAAATTATAAAAAACGTCAATAATTATAGTTTCGTAACTGAAATATGCTAGTGTTGCTTACACTTCTGGGCTCCTCATTGGAATCTAAACTTGTATCTGTATCTGTATCTGAGTCTTCAGCAAGATACTACCTTCTTCTCTCTAAGGCCCTCTTGCTTGCGTTTAGTAGTTGAAGTGTTTCCAGAAATAGTAAGAGAGTTTCTTGATAATGTCGAATTGTGGATGTTGTGGATAAGAATCGAGGAACCACCGCTTATTTTACTCAATGATTTGCTAGTGAAAGTGCTTTGTAAATATTATTTCTAGAGATATCCTAAATTTTTTAAAAATAAATTTTTTGTCTTCAACAAGAAACAAAAAATAATTAGAAATAAATAAATGCTATCGTTTGAACGAAAATGAATATTTCCAAAGAATAGGAATCAAAATTTAACTCAATTTTTTAAAAACGAATTTTCATTGAAAATAATTAAAAATAAATAAAAGCTTCATTTAAATGAAAATAAATCTTGCCAAAGAATAGAAATAGAAATTTTGCACAATTTTTTAAAAATGAATTTTTTCATTGAAAATAATTAGAAATGAATAAAGGTTTTATTTGAATGAAAATGGATCTTGCCAAAGAATAAGAATCCCAATTTTTTATAAACTAATTTTTCGGTTTCGACAAAAAATGAAAAATAATTAGAAGTAAATAAAGGCTTCGTTTGTTTGAACGAAAATAGATCTTGCTAAAGAATAGAAATTGAAATTTTACACAATTTTTTAAAACCAAATTTTTGTCAAAAATGATTAATAATGAATAAAGGCTTCATTTGAGCGAAAATGGATCATGCCAAAGAGTAGGAATTGAAATTTACAACTTACAAGTGTATGTCGATATTTAGTCTTATTGTAATATATATTAGTCATCTAATCTTATTAAATTACGTATCTGATATATCTGTTACTGAATCTTATTATTCCCGAAATCTATAACTTAACCGAATTGGCCGAAAATTATTTGGCTAATTTTAGAAATGATCGAGCAAAGCAAAGATCATTCATTTTAAAATGGACGAACAAAGGAGGTAAGATAATAATCATGTGCTCTGTCTGTTTTTTATTGGTCACTGTCCAAGCTTATGTAGTTACATCATTTATGTAATTTTACACGTGATTATATGTGATTTGACTATTGTGTTTTTTGTAAATAAAACTCTAGACTGTTTTTTTTTTTTTTTATCTATTTATGTGATACTACTATGCTATGTACACTATTGTTTAATGATTTTATTAATTCTAATATGTTGCTATAAATGTTCAATAAGAGTGTTGCAAAAAATTTCTTGTGCAAAGAGAGAGAAGGTGGGTTTTATATAATTATTATCTTATCTTCTTTGTTCGTCCATTTTAAAATGATCTTTGCTTCGCTCGATCATTTCTAAAAATGAACCTCACTTGGAGATAAGATAATAATCATGTGCTTGTGTGGAGTTTGTCAAATTTTCTTGGTGTTTTTCTAGCTTCATTTATTATAGATATCAGTAAATTATTACATTCGAGTATTAACCTAATGCCTCGTTGGTAGAATTTCTGAAAAACTTTGTTGCTTGACTAGTTTCTTAATACTAAAATAGCTGGCAGTTCTGATCCTGCATTCTGAGTGAAAAAGGCTGCTAGAACTCTTGTATCCTTAGCTGTGAAAGATGAGCCTAAAAATAGTAATATGTTTTTTATCCATCTAGAAATAGTGTCAACTGCTGCTGGTTTACTGGAAGTAGAGCTCAGAAAAATGCTATTCGAAGTCTCTTGTGAATTCCTAAATCTTGTAGTTTTGGTAATTAAAGTAGTCAATATTAACAAGGGGCATAGTGAAGGCTCTTTTTCGTATTTTCTCACAAAAACCATTTTTGATCATTTATGGCCTTCTTTTGATGAAGATATTTTTGAGGTAGAAAAGTGATAGCAAAAAAATATCACAACTATGTAATCGCTGACCGTTTCTGACCTACTTGACATCAGATTGAAAGATAAGATAATCAATAACTTTAATTTTTGTGTTCGCAAATTCTTATAGAACAAATTAATATTAAGTTAATTAACACTAGATCTATAAACTTGGGATTTTATTAAAAAATAAAATGGGAATAAGAAGAGTTATGAAGAGAAGGTTTGGCTTTATTAAGTGTAAATTAAAAAATACCTTTTTTTTTCTGATTAGGATTAATATAGAAAACGTAATTCTAAAGTACAAATTTATTTTTATATTACAGCATCAATTTTTTTGTACATAGCCCTAATAACACTAAGAACTTGTATTAACTATTAATCTATTGTAACCAAAAAGCTAATGTCCCTTTTTTTAGTGGTTTAAAAGTTTGCTGCTAGGCTCTGGCTCTAAGAACCTTGTTACATGTAGCAGTCTTATCGATAAGAGGCTACCTAAGGACTTTATATACTTCGTAAAGTTTATCATTTTCAATATTGTTATTTACAATATTTACTAATGTTTTAAATGTTTTCATGTCTAATATTAGCTCCAACTTTCTGTTTTCGATTGTCGCATGTCATTCAAAGACAATTACATTTGGGCTATGACTGCTTGTCTCTGATTCAGATATTAAATTTATAGTATCACTATATTGAGTGTTATTCCAAGGATTATTATTTAAATTAATTCTTGGAAGGGTTGTTTCAAAAGAAATAAGCAGATAATCATAGCGGTGCATGATCATAAAAAATCGTAAAAAAAAAGATAGATTTTTAGCAAAATATTTTTTTACCAAGTGCTTACATATAAAATGAGGACTATGCAAAAAGCTAGAACAAGAGCAAATCCAAGTATTTATATCGGTATAGTAATGTTTTGTCGCACTTATGAAAAAATGAAAAGAAACAATAATAAATAAAATAGTAGGAATAAAACAATAATGAACAAAATTCTAAAAGAAACCTTATTTCTTTTTCAATAGCAAACTTCCAATCATGCTTTAACACATTCCAATATGATGAAAATTCACAATTATAGCAAAACTTATTCCAAGTATTTTTTATGTTTGGTATAAAATCATTGGCAAGAATTTCTGTTAAATGATCTAAGCGTGGCTGGTTAGAATAATATTTATAAGGAGGTGTGGCGACTTAGTGAAGTGGTTTAGTTGTCACACTCACCAAACGTTATGGGAAGATCCCATGTTCAAATCCCAGGGACAGCGCTTTTGTAATATGGAAAAAGTCTGCGATGATCTTCACTAAGGTTGGCCCATAGAGGATCTGTCGAGACGGTGTCAGGTGGCACCATTGAGGTGATTCCGGAAGGCTGTAATCTGTGGGCTATGCATAGCACGGGTCACAGGACCAGAGATCGAAGCCCGTTTGGGAAGTCCTGAGTAGGGAGGTAGCAGTGATCTTCGATGGTACTACATGAAGGCTGAATTTGAACCGGGCCCGAGATTGGTGAACTGAGCGACCAGGTCCTTTAGTGGGGGGACACACCAGCCGAACCGCCAGTTTAGACGCACCAGAGGAAAAGGGCATACGCTCCGAAAGTATGGACCAAGGGGAGGGCGTCCTTCAGGCACCTGAA